TTCCTGGGCAGCCCAGCACTGAGGAGAAAACACTCCTGTGCGCAGCACCAACCCCCAAAACCCCAGCTGGGAAGTTCCTTGTGTCAAGGTTTACCCCTTCAGGAGGAGCCCAGTGTGTGGCCCTTTAAACCACAAAGGATCTGGTTTCCAGTTCACAATTTGACAGTCACCAAAAATCAGGAAAGAGGGTTAAGAGCCTAAATGACCCAACCATGAGGCCCTCTAAAAAAGACTTAACAACACTGTCTACGGAACAGACTACCTAGGAGGCTTGGTGTATTTCAAACAAGCGTGAAATTAGTAGATCAAATGTCATTACTGCAAAAACATTACAATTAAAATCTCTCGGCAGCAGTAGTCTATTAAGTCGACACATTAATGTCTGAGTGTAGCCAGAGAACGGGGTTGTCTCTTGAAGACCAATGAAATGAGAGACAAAATAACACATTAGTTAGAGGCACAGATTTGGGGCCAGATTCCTGGATTCAGTCCTAATGCTGCCATTATTACTAGCTGTGTGACTTTTGGCAAGACTCTTAACCTCTCTGTGTCTCAGTTGCATGATGATAATCGTGTCTTCCTCATTGGGCGATTGTGGAAATTAAATTGAGAGATGGAAAGCCCTTAGAAAAGTACCTGTTGTTTCTAGTAAGGGCTTTAAGTACTACCGAGGACTCCTAAGTGTTAGAAAAAAGACATGCACAGAAAAAGTCAATTATTAGTCTAGGAGTCAGATTACTTCATATAATATTAAAGATGAAATTCTAGATCCTGAAACAAGGGATGCTGGAAAATCTCTTGCATAGGAAATTACGAAATGAGCTGAAATGTGCCTGCTTGTAAATTTTATTCATTGACCTAACGACTATCTTTGGCATTCATGCAGCCAGTATACTCTACTTCCACCTGCCAGCCCTTCTTGAAGACTTTTGTTGTATCCTCTTATATTGTCTTTCTTGCAGAATAAACCTGACAGGTTACAGGAGAGGTTTTCCAGATGCCTCACCATAATGGTCCACTTCCTCAGTGGAGTACCAACTTGAACACCTCTCTTGAAAGACAATGTTTGGGTTTGGCATACCTTCAGTGTTCCATAAACTAAGAGAATAAGTTCACAAACATCCTGACATACATAGTATACAAAAACAATTCTCTCCCCTTTTGACATATTGCACTTATGTTAGTGCAACCTGAATTTATACTAGCTCTTCCAAGAGGGATTTCTGCAAGTCTGTTGGCTTGGGTATATAAAAGAGTGTCCTCTAGGGGATGAAGGTCCAGGACAAACTGAGAGAAGCCCGTAGATGCCCAGCCCACTTTGGCAAAGACCTAGGTAATATAACAGAAAAGGTGAAATGAGAAAACAAAAACTCTAGGGCCTCCCTGGACATAGGCGTTAAGTCTCAGTTCTATCACCACTTCAGCCTGAGTCCTATAGCCAGCCAGGGAGCTGACCCACACTATGGCACAGCAGACCTCTCCAGTCTCGCTCCCTCGTTCCCTTGGAGCAATGTGTTTCAGGAAATCTACCTGTTCTGCTCCCCACTCCATCTCTGGTGAGCCCTTACCTCTGCATTTCTTGTCTATACCCCAGTTCTTCTACGCATCACTAAATAAATCCTCTTTAAAAAAAACAAAACTCTAGGCATACAACAACTAGGTCTTGCTTCCTTTCATAAATGTGGACTGTCCACTTGCCAGGTGCACAGTAGAAATGCACTACCAGCTCCTCGGAGTCGGGGGTGGTCATGTGACCGATGAAATGTAAAAGAGCCAGTGCCCAATTCAAGTTCCCCTTCTCTAGGCCATGGCAATCAACTAAGCACAGAAATGGAGCCTCCCTAGCAAAGCCGGGGCAGAGCCCCTCAGATGAACTGTGATGAACATGGACTGAAAGTCAGAACCAAACCTTCGTTGTTCTAAAACACTGAGATTTTGTCTGTCATTGTCATCGCGGCCCCTCTAGTCCATCCTGATGGACTAGTTTCTGTATCACTGAAACTAGAACACACAGAGCTCACATCTTCTGGATCCACCAGATCATAGCTTTCGTATTATTTCACTTCTCCACCTTTCTAATCTATAAGAGGGGGAACCATCTTCGGGTGAGCAGACACTTGTTTTACCAAGCAGCTCAGTGAGCCCCACCTGCCAACAGTGAGGGACATGTTATCTGCTGTTATCTGTTACCATGGAGACCTTTTTTTTTCCCTCCCACAGAAGAAACCCAAGAATATTGGACTAAAATCCACCTAAGACTGTCACTGCAGTGCAGAAAATAAGTATCTGGAGGAGACTTAGGATAACTGAAAGAATCTGAGAGTAATTTAGGATGGAAACAGTTTATCTAAATTAGTGGTTCTCAAGACTTTACCTGAATCATCTAAAGTCTCGTTAAAACACTTTACAGGGTCCGACAGCTCCAATAGGTTTAGGGTGGAGCCCAAGAATTTGTACAAGTTCACAGGTGATGTTGTTAACGACGACATTTTGAGAACCACTACTTTAGAAGGACTAGCTCCAACACACCAGAATGGAGGCTCTGACAAGGAGTCTCCAGGGTCTGGCTGTTGTTATCCGCTGTTATAAGCACACCCTGTTTGGAGAAGGAAAAGACAAGACTCAGTTTTCCTTTCTCCACACACAACATTCATCTGAGAGCTGATATGTGTAAAGAACACAAAGGTTGTGGCTATCTCAGTCTTTTTCCTCAGCACATACACTACACAACAAAAGCAAGCTCCTTGAAGGGAAGAAAACAGAAATTTCATTCATTAGCACACATAAAAAGTGGTGTCTGTGAGGGGAATCATGCCTCATCCACCCTCCAGAGCTCCTCCAGGAAGTAAATCAGGTGAATTTAGGAGGAAGCAATTTAGCTAAGTGGCTGCTGCTTCCCTCCCCAACCTTATCTCTGAGCTCCCTCTCACAAGCCTTTGTTCCAAGGCTGTCTTACTGCCCTCTGACCCAGCCAGATCTGCTCAGACTCTCTTTGCAACACCCTCTCTGCACCACCCCCATGCATGAGCTAATTTTCACTTATCTAAATCCGTTTCCTTCTCCAGTTTAGGGCCAGACACTTCAAGAAAATCTTCCCTCTCTGTCATCCCCATCACAGCCAATCAATCACCAAATCCTCTCCCTTTTAGCTCCCAAGTATCTCCAGTGCCCTTCAGTTTCAACTGTAACTCAACGTATAAAGCCAGTGCCCTCTTCTTCCTCTAGGTCTCTGTCCAGTTATACAGTTTGACTGGGCAGTTCTTAATTCAAATCTCTCCCCCCTTCCCGGTGGAGAGACCTTCCATGGTCTCCCAAGTTAGTTAAGTGATGTCTTTTATCAATTCCCATGGAACCTTTTAAAGTTTCCTTCCCAGGAAATATTTTGGTAGCTAGAAGAGGCCACCTTCTCAGAAGTTTGTCAGAGGACAAAATCTTCTAACAGTGAGAAATGGAGGTGTTGGTGAGTATTCCTAATGGAAAGTCTGCATTTGTCTAGAAGTCCCTAGTAAAACTGGTAACTTCCCAAGCTAATTGTTCTGATGGAGTCTCCCTCCAAACCTTTAACAACTGGATGCCTAAGAAAGGGGGTTGAACTCAGTGACCTCCTAAGAGGCTCTGACCTTCAGGATTCTATAAACAAACTCATTCCACTGGAATCTGAAGAATTCACATTCTGTCTCTGCCTTTAAAGAGCAGCTCTTTCTCTTTGTAGGAGACAAGACAATCTTTACCTTCTACTCTATCTTCCTAGCGGTTTTGTTTCTGAAGGTGAAGTTCCTCACCCCCAAAGTCCAGTCATTATATTCCATAGGCCACCAGTATCAAAATAGTTTGGCAAGCAGCCTCTGACTTGGGCAAGGGTTAACCCCAATTAAAGAGATCGAGCTGGGGTGACATCCTGGCTTTTCTACTTAAGTCATGGCACTTTGGGCAAATGACTTTCCTTCTCAAGAGTACTGCATTAAATAAAGTGATGTATGTAAATCCCCTAGCACACAGTATTATCATAATTATAGATTTCTAGATTTACAAGTTCTGTAGACTGTTTCTAAGCTGAAGAGACTATGGAGATAAAATGATATGTTTAGAACTTGCTTCAAAATAATTAAGGGAGTAAGGAGGCGGGTACAGAAGAAATAAAATTGGCCACGTTTTACACTGTTGAACATGGGTGATGTGTGCATTGGATTCATTACTGTATCTCTTGAGTGCATGTTTGAAATTTTCCATAATAAAACATTTAAGGCATCAGTACTGAGTGAGAAAAATGCTATAAAAATATAAATAATGATCATTTATTTTAAGATCAAACTTGGTCTAGGTAACTTAACAGAAGGAAAATTATTTGAAGGGGGGGGGATATGTCTTTATTCGTTTCTCAGACAATTGCTTTCCTTAGACAGAACAGCCTCCCATGAGCAGACGGGAGCAGAGCCACTTGCACACATTTCTCTGCCTTCATTTTGGGGAGAATACTTCCTTCTTGGGCTGCACATTTCTAAGCAGACAGGCCCGGGGTGACAGAGCCAGACTTGGCGTATCCCAGAGTCCCTGCTGTGATAGGTCCCAGGAGCCAGAGCACTCCTGGCTTAGGAAAAGCACCAGAGAAGTAGAACTGACTGGAGATAACAATGTCAGTCTTCTCTTGGACTGTTTTGGAGGCTGGATCAGAGGGTGCTGGAGCATCATACCAGGTACTTTCCCACCAGGTGGGTGCTCTCAGAGCAGTCAGCAAGTCAGAGGATGCTTGAGGGGGAAGAGAGCTTCTAAAAGGCTCTAATAACCATTCACAGCTCATCCCCAAGTCATCCCCTCACAGCTGCCTCTTCCCACAGAGAGCAGTCGAGAGACTCAAAAACAAAGTTCTCACATTTCACCTCAAATCAATGAACCTACTCCAAGCCCCTCCATCTGAGGAAGAAAGAGGCCAGCAAGCTTTGTTCAGAACGAATACCAGTAAGCTCCCAAACTCTGAAATGGAGAATATATGAAGTACTTACTCTTCTTGAAGAATAAAGTCACTGTTTTCTGGAGAAAACTGCCCACTCACAGGATGCCTGAATGCTGTGGTCTGCTGGTTATGGCTAGAGAAAGAGAGAGAGAGAAAGACAATGAATGAGAAGTCACGTGAATGTGAGGGGTCACAGGCGCAACAGGTCAGCCATGTCTGAGGACCCCAAATATCAGGTTCCTCCCAGGGCGAGAGTGGGGCTGCACCTCCGAGAGGCGCTGACGCTGTCAGAATCCAGCTGTATTTAATAACCAAGAACTTCAGCTCAGGTGCCAAAGCCCTCCTGAGAAGCAGGGATTAATTCTAGGGAAGTCTTGACTCCCTGAGAACACAGCATCTTGGATATTCCACAGAGTACTTCAACAAAGTGAGGGCTGAACAAAAGTTATTGAAAGATGGCACAAGCTAATAAACAAGAATGAAAGAAAGCAGGCAGCACTTTTAACAGCTTCCCAAAACCATGAACTAGGGAAAGAATGCTAAGAATCAACCACCCACCCGGAAAAATTTCTTCTTAAAATTCTTCTGCTACAAAATTCTCCACTCCGTGATGGGCTGGCTATAAACGCAGGGGCATGTCCCTGCAACATGACCTGCACAGTTTCAACACTGTGGAGTTTCTAGCACCCTTTTGAAGTTGGGAGGGATCAGCTTCCACGCCAAGCTGACAGACACAACCAGAGTGTGTAGGTGTTCTGTGTATTCACAAAGGCTGCCTCTTGGCAAGGGGGAGGAACTGGCTGGAGAGGCTGCTGGTTTGCTCCATGAAAGATCTAACCTCCTTCTTCACAAAGGAATATGACTTATTTGAAAACTTGGTCTCAGCCACAAATCGTAGTGATTTTAGGGTATATAGAAAGGAAAAAAGTTACCCAAGATCTGAAGATAATCTGCTTATTTCCTCCTTCCTAGCATACATGTGTGTGTGTTTTCATTAATTTAGAAATATGTATCATTTTTTCACATTCTATCAAAATAGAAAATTTCCTACAGCATTACGACTTCTTCATTATGTGAATGCAAACTTTTTTTCATACTACTGTTGAAAAAAGAAATTTACTGTCTAGCCACATGTGGGGCACTGCATAGGTCCTGGTGATACAGAGAAGTCCTTACCCCACAGAGCTTACATTCTAGAAAGATTTACATTCCTCTACTGCAATTCACTATTATAAACAATATGTCTTTGCTTATAAGTGTTTTCTGTAATTCAAATCATTTTCTTAGTGTAAAATCCCAGAAGTAAAACTACTGAATCAAAAGACCTGGTCATTTTTAAAGCCTCCTAACACAAGATAACATGCCTTCAATGTCAGCATCACTCTGTCATCTCAGTTCAGTAGTGTTAAGCGATTAGTCCCATCTCTAAATTGAGCACTGAGTCACCCTAGAAATTAGTAATTTAAAGTGATCATTGGATAGAGGTTTAAAAAAAAAAAGACTCGAGGCCTTTTCTTATTCTGCCTGGTCAGGGTGTCCAGGATTCTGGAGTGAGGCAAGCTGAGCACTGAGCCGAGAGCAGCCTGGATCCCCATGAGGCAAATGTGAAGCAAGGCAGAGTCAACAGGCCTGCAACCATGCTCCCCTTCCAGCACCCTCACCCCTCCCGGCACTTGGAATCCTATGACCTCATCTGGTAGGCAGCAGCCTGGTCGTCCCGAAAAAGCAGAGCTAAGCACGAGCATCTATATTCTACCCTTTGAACACCTGTTTTGGAATCCTTGTACCAAGTTTAGGGATAGGCTTTATTTATCCTCCACTTCTTTTAGATGTCATCTCTATTCACAGGGAACTTAATTTGAAAACAAGAACTCTAAGCTCTCCTCCTTGCAACCTGGAGGTGGGGGAAAATGCCATGCTCGGCATGAGTTGAACAGTCTTCACTATTCACACTATCCACTATCATTCCTCACAGGCTCCACAGCCTGCATAGACTTACGGCTTGGCTGTGCCACTGTCATCTCCCACAGGATGGATAGGCTCCGAGATGTTAAGTGACTCGCTCATAAGCTCATCATAACTGATAAGACTAAGACATGAAGAACCCAGGTCTTCTATTTCTACATCATATTCCTCTTGCGTGATAACCAGTGGTCCCCCACTTCCTTTGGAGTCTGCAGCGCTGACAGCTCCCTGCTCATGATCAGAAATCTGTACGGACAAGATGTCCGGAAAATGGCACCCACCAACCGCTGCTACTTCTATTTCCTCTCCTTGTCTCCCTCCCTTCCTCCCCTCCTTCTGTTCCTTGAGAGGATGCAAGCAAAGAATGAATCTTCTATATGCCCAGAGTGTTCAGCAACTGCTTCATAGGCCATGCACAGTCCCACTCGCAGCTCCTGGCTGAACAAGCCTAGGGTCTTGCATAAGTGAGCTGAGAGGTGTAGGCACTAAAACAAACTTTACATTCTAGCATTAGAAGGAAGACCATTTTAAAAAGTGGACAAAACTTCAACTGCCATTTGAGTCAATCTACAGGTAGCTCACCAAGCTCGCTTCCCCAATATAGATGCTAGCTAGCCTCTTTGCCAAGACAGTTTCTGCCGCAGACTCATCCACAATATTTCCTGCATTTACACAAGGCTTTAAGTGTCTCCACATTCATCACCGTCCTTGGCCCTCCCAAGTACCACCTGAGGTAGCCAGGGTACAGTTTTATCCATGTTACTCACACCAGAAGTGAGGATCCAGGGTATGGGATGTTATTGGCACAATAAATTTAACAGGAAAAAAGAATGGACATACATTGAAAAAAGAGGTGAAAACAGGGATGCCTCTCTGGGGCGAGAGTACTAAACTTGCCAAGGTTGCTAATGGCAGAGCTTCTGGTTCAGCAGTTTTTCAGCAAAGGAAGAAGAATCCGGCTCCTGGACTATTTCATTCAACCTTCCCAAATTCCCAGTAGGTCAAGCAGGCTCGGAATGTTCATGCCAGACAACAGTCTGCCAGAAAGGCCCAACAACGGGCCCACAAGTTAACCCCTGTGTTCCTGCATGCCACTGCCCTCCTGGTCTCCTTCCGCTATTCCAGGCTCACTTCACCAAAGGCTGCCCACCAGCAAGCCCACCACCAGGCCCGTCCAGCAGGAGGCTGCAAATTCCTCTAGCTTTATCTGCTTTCCCGACCATTCATCCCAAAAGCCCTCAAGCCTGTTCCCAGTTTCTATTCTAAAAGCCACGAAGAATCTTCTGTCTCAAGACACAGTTAGCAGGCACAGACAAATCCCCTGAAATACCTGTTCTTAAACCTGAATTGCCACCTTGCTCCTTGGTAGTGATGGAAATGGCCCGGCCAGGAGCCAGGGTTTCAAGGGAGCACAGAAACTCTCTCTCTTCCACACAAGAGCTTCTGTTTCTTTTCAAGCAAATGAGGTAAAACACAACCTAGCCTTTATTCTTAGATCCTGCTCTTCCTCCCAGCAGCAGCCTCTCCAAGTTGAACGACAGCCAATCTCTTGGGGGAGGACCTGGGAGTGCAACGGGAAGGTGGCAGGAGGCTGAGCTCCATGAAGGCGGGCCACAGGTAACCATCGACGTAAATAAACACGTCTTCACAAGCCTGCAGTACGAAGGACCTGGGTTAGGCCTTCCAGAAGTCTGACAGCAAACACAGAGGCTTGGTAAGGAAACAAAGAGAGGACCAGGGAGAACTGGAGACTGCTTTGAGCTTAGCCTATGGAAGAACCCACCTACAATCACAGACAGGGCGAGTCAAAATGTAAATGGTGCTACAGTTTCTGGCAAGATTAATTTTCAATTCCCAGAGGTTTTGACTGTAATGTGCACAGTGCCTGTGGCTGGTTAAACATGAAGGTTCCATTACTTAACCCGGTGATTTTTTTGGACGTGGCATGAAGTTCTGGAATTTCGTGAATGGTGCTCAAGAGTGGCAGTCAGAGCATCCTGATAAGTCTGACAGTAGTGGCATTAGTATGCTGAGAGTGTGACAAATCTGCTCCATCAGCACTTGCTCTTATCGGGCCCCTGCTCCTCTTTATAGAAAAGCAACAGCTTAAAATGTAAGGAAAGTATCTGGCCTCAAAGCCTAAAGAGGGACTCCAGCCAGGCTCTCCTTGTTGATATGCCAGGCAGCACGGGCCCCTCAGGACCTTTTGGCTTCTCCATGCGGCTTCCAGAACATTGTGTAAGTCACCCTGCAGTCCTAAGCCACACACAGCATTGCCTCCAAGATTGTTAAGGCACCTGCTATCTTTGCTCTAAATCCCAGGGTCCCAAGCAAACCACAGATTCTGGGTAGCCTTATAATAAATACATCCTAGTAGGCCCTGGAACTGATAACTGAGAAATTCTAAAAACATAAGCAATTAACTCCTCATCTTCTTCAGTTCTGAACCACATCTGAACCACAGAGTAAAGAGATTTGAAACAGCATCTCCTGCACCTGAGATTTGAAACAGCATCTCCACCATCCCTCAATATTTCTTAAGTTCCTGTTGTTTTATCTTACTTGACACTTTTACAAAATTGCTCCTTCAGTGCAGTGTCACAGGCTGTTTATGGGGCATTTCCTAAGGGTGCTGAGAACCTTAATGAGATGGTATTTGGAGCTTGCACTGGTTTTTGAAAATGTCAAGATTTGTAACAGCTTGCTGCCTGCAGGCGTTGCTCTGACAGACCCTTCTGGGGGCTCAGACTTTGATAAGCTGATGTAAGGGCCACATCCTCTCTCTAAACAGAAGCCATCAACTCAGCACTAATAAACCACCTTCACTATCCACCCTGAACAAGTCAGTCCAGAGCTCTGGGTCAGAAAATCTGAGTTCAAAGCAGAGCAAGTCACCTCTGCTCCAAGCCTCCTCTTCCACGGGCAAACAGGAAATAAGATATTCCCAAAAAGTTTTTTGTGAAGCTGGCCTCCCTGGTGGCGCAGGGGTTAAAGGTGCTACCAACCAGGCCTTCCCTCGTGGCACAACCAAAGCACAGCATTATTTAGCTAACCACAGCCACTTCAACACAAGTTCAATCCCCGATCAGGGAGGTGACCCACATGGCGCGGCAGATTTCTCCTGTCTCACCTGCCTGCTGCTCCCCTCAGCAGTGTACTTCG